TAGTGTGGCCCTTCCAAGGTCTCCACCTATAGGCATATTTCGCCCACCCCCTCTGTCCCGTAAGATCGTCGTCATCTCTATCCCGAAGGACGTCGTCCAAATTCGAAAGTGGGAGTAGCCGTGAAGACTTTTCATGAAAAATGTCGAGAATGAAAACTGTGGAAGATGTGTTCTTTCGACTGTTAATTGCATCCGATCCATATATCTCCAGCTTAAGGGGGGCAACCACTTTAGGAGACCGAAAATTAAATGATTTTTGGGATTTTTTTTATTGCGAAAAAAATACGGAAATTTCCGCAACTCTAACAATAATTTTTTCACATTTTCATATGTCTCTGGTAATTTTTTCAAGTTGTTTCATCCATTGTATTAAGGTGTAATCCGCTGTGTCCCTTGGCGTGTCCTCATCATCGTTGTCGACTTGCGGGAATCGTGCAGTTCGCAATTAGCATCTGAAATAGTCCAAAAAATGTTGATACATTCTTGAGATGTTTTTTAAGAACATGAACTTAAATTTTAAAAAGAAATCGAGAATTTAATGTTGGAACGTGTTTGAAAAGAAAATGATCGATTTTTAGCATTTTGTTTCCCGGCATTTTGCAATAATAAATATGTTTTAAACAATCTAAGCTTTCCAAATTTAGGTTCATGTTTTAATAAATTATATTATGTAAACGTGTTCCAAATTTGAAGATGATCCATCAATTAGTTTTTGAGTTATGATTCCGTCAAATTGAAAAAATGTCGTTTCGAGAAAAACACGTTTAAAGTTTCACAAACGAAAAACTCAAACTCAAATGCGTTTAATCAAATGATAAAGTGTCTTACCGATTAATCAGCGATTCCAGCACCATACAGTAGTCCTTCCTCTTCCTCATGGAACTCATTTGCAGCTTGCATTTCCTCTTTACGAGCTGTTCGAGCTTCTTTTGTCTCTAATGAGTTTCTTCTATTTTGCCGAGCCACGCGCATCTGATCCATTTGCTCAGCATATCCGTAGCTCTGCCTGCCAACTACGATTTGTAATTCATTCATGACCATGAGTAGGGCTGAATTTCCTTTGTTGAATAAAATAGCAGCAAAAAAGGCCGCTACCTCGATTACTTTGTACCCAGAATGGAGATGTTTCGGAGCTAATAGCCAAACGGTCGAGTTAAAACTTTCGTTTGCATTCTGCGTATGACCGCCTAAACATCTCTGCAATAAATCCTCTCTTGCTATTATAGATCTTCATATATAGGACGAATATGCTCTTGTACATCCGGGTGTAATGGGGGTGGATGTGGCTCAGGCTCCGTTCCGAGAGCTGTAGCCTGCTGCCAATTGCACCAGCTGTCGACTCCCTCCGGGCAGTTTTCATGTCGCGGATTTTCGTCTGTAGACTGCAGATGATGGAATGTGGCCATTATAGCCTTTTTCATGTCCTCCACGCTGTTAATATTTCTCCGTATTGCCAATCCGTAATAAGTAGCAAGTTTCTTCAACAAAACCTCGGTCAATTTTTCTTTGCCACTTAGTTTCTCCTTTTTCCTGATATTTCGCAGGCGAGTCCCCATTCTTTTCTGAACGTGGCAAATACATTCGCTCTTGCAAGCTGGAAACTCATCGCCGTAAGGATTGAGTTTCAGGATTGCATTGAAAGTTTTGGAATCACCATCACCAATGTAATTTCCATATTTCACTCCATAGAGTTCTTCTGATCTCGAAAACATCTCTTTGATTGATTCTACCTCTATGCTTCCCGAAGAGCCATGGTGATTTTGTGCACAGTTTTCTTCATCATGTTCTTCTTTCCACTCTTGATATTCTACTGTATTTTGAGGCTTATTTTTCCAATATGTACACGCTTGACAATAACTACTTTTTGCCATCATATCGACGACTTTTCCAGAATAATACCCTATGAGAGTTGTTACGCCAAACAACGATTTAAAGCCACGTTTTTTCCAACTACCGTCACCAGATACTTTTAAATCCAGTAGTGGTCTCTCGCGTTGCTCATTTTCTGCCTTTTCCTCCTCTACAGCTTTTCTACAGCAAAATTCAAACACTTTCTTCGAAACCACATGGATATGACTTTATTGTAACTTTCTTCAGCCAAACCGCTACCGATGTCCATATAATTACAGAATGTATTTAACCCCTGTCTACCTATGCCTAAGAGACGCATGACGAACACAATTCTACGATTGATTTTAAAACCAGTATTGATGAAGGGACCTGAATTTATTTCTCTTCGTCCACATCGGCAATTGACAAGAATCTTAAAACCAAGGCCTCTGATTCCAGTTTCTTCAAATTTTATGTTCTGCTTGCAACTCCCACAAATAAGGATATCAGACAACGCCGTGAACACAGTGAAAAATTCAATGAAACGATAACAGTGTAACGGATTCATGCGAACGTTTTCACTCGTAGCAGTACTAAGTTTTTTCGCGCTAGCACTCGGACCCGCGGTTTCACTTGCATCTTTGCTAGTAAACTGATTCCCATGGAAAGATCTCTTCCGTGGCTTTTGGCGTCTTTCAGATGTGTTATGATCACCTTTTGGATACGATGACATTTTGCAACTGTAGAATATTCACGATGCGTCCTAGGCAAAAGCCGAAGCTAAACTGAATCCAGAATGACGGTGACGCTTCTATAGTAGCTTCTATTCTATTCTTCTGACTCATCTGTTCCACCCCAAAGCAAAGGTACTATGATCTACGTTACCAGGTGAGTCATAAAAAGGGACTACCTGACTCAGCGCTCGTGGATACCTGGGCGCGCTTGGGAGTCGAGCGGAGAGTCTTTATCATTTATATACACTACCGGCCATAAGTGTTTGCCCACCTTCAAATTTCGTTACTATTCAAATGACAGGCATTTTATTGTTATGAAAATGTCCGTATCATTAAATCCTAATTATAAGACTAATAAAAACCATCCAAAACTTTCTGTACATATACAATCAGGTACTGTTAATGAGTTTACAATTTTTTATGAAAAACGACGATTTTAGAGTTCAGGTAAAGAAACCCATTTTTCTGAAGTTTTTATAACGATTAGTAGGAAATATGAAAGCAGGTAGTACGGGCACCTTATTCTTCTTAAGGGGGTATCCTGGTGTAGATCACCAGGAAATAAAGGAATCTTTGGGAATTTATTTTAAAGAAAATATTTATTAAATCGAATTCGGAGCTATGCGGTTTTAATGGTTGTTGATTAAACTATGTAAAAATATTTTTTTTTATTAGGCGTACAAATAAGTTTCCTCGGTTTTTTATAAAAAGTTAGGAATTTATTGTGAAGGAACAGTACATTACGTTTTATTGAAAGTATTTTCCATCATTTGCCACTACTTTTCCCCATCTTTCTGGCAACATTCGGATACCCCGTCGAAAAAACTCTTCATCTTTTGACGCTATCCACAAATCTACCCAATTTTTGGTGTCTTCATATGATGTGAAGCGCTGCTCAGACAGACCATGTGCCATCGACCGGAACAGGTGATAATCAGAAGGGGCTAAGTCTGGTGAATACGGCGGGTGGGGTAAAACTTCCCAGTTGAGTGTTTCCAAGTATGTTTTTACCGGCGCCGCAACATGTGGACGAGCATTATCGTGTAAAAGAATAATTTTGTCGTGTCTGGAGTAGTAATGGGCGCGTTTTTCCTTAAGTGCCCGACTCAATCTCATCAATTGTGTTCGGTAGAGAGCTCCAGTAATGGTTTCGCTTGGTTTGAGTAATTCATAATACACGACACCAAGCTGATCCCACCAAATACACAGCATGAGTTTTTTCCCATGAATATTCGGCTTAACTGTCGATGTTGATGGTTCGCCGGGCTTAACCCATGACTTTCTCTTCTTTGGATTATCGTAGTGAATCCATTTTTCGTCACCAGTGACTATACGATGCAAAAAACTCTTTTTTTTATTCCTGGCAAGCAGCATTTCACTCATGCATAATCGGCGTTCAACGTCTCTCGGCTTTAGTTCATATGGAACCCAAGTTCCTTGTTTTTGAATCATTCCCAACGATTTTAAACGATGTGAAATTGCTTGTTGAGTCACTTGTAATGTAAGTGCAAGTTCTTTTTGCGTTTGGGACGAATCTTCCTCCAATAATACTTCTAATTCCATGTCTTCGTACACTTTCGGCCTTCCACTGCGTTCTTTGTCCTTCACGTCAAACTCACCGTTCTTAAACTTTTGAAACCATTCCTGACAACTTCTCTCACTTAAAGCAGCTTCACCATATGCTTCTAGAAGCAATCGATGCGCCTCAGCTGCAGATTTTTTCAAATTAAAGAAGTAAATCAAAAGTTCCCGCAAATGATACTTATTCGGCACAAAACTTGACATTTTTGCAGGAAAAAAATTACGTGATGCTGATACGGAATCACTAGTACTTTAAGGTTATGGTGTTGCCGGATGACGAAACTTGGGATATTACGTTTTACATCTGACAATTTCTCCATAACCTTCTGGTTTGGCCATCTTTTGACAAACCGCGGAAACTTATTTGTACGCCTAATAGTTTTAAAAAAATTATATAGCGGAAGTAGGACGGCATATGTACAGTGTCTCGGCGTCGAACGCCTGAATTTGCGGGTGCTCCTGTTCCTTTTGTACTCGTCTGAAATAAAAATACAAAATATTTCTTACTCTTTATGAACACAGTTTGTCGATGGACCTTGAAAAGTGGAAAAAACTTGAAAATTGACAAAGTGGCGGCACTTTGAAAATAAAACGCGATTTTTCGCTGGAAAATTCATTTTTGTTCATGCAATAAATATGCTTTAAATTAATTAATATATTTATTTTGTAGGTTCATCGACTAGTACGTGTAGTAAACTATATGTGTGTAAAATTGCAACCCGATTAGTCAAGTAGTTTTTGAATTATTTGACCCGCAAATCGTAAGAAAGTAGTTTCGAGAAAAACACGTTTAAAGTTTTCGGTACAGAAAAGTCGGAAAGAATGTGATTTTTGGATACTTATAGCTGTTTTCTGTTAGTCTGCTATTCCAGGCCCGTATAACAATCCTTCCGCTTCTTCGAACAACTCGTTTTGCTCGATTTACAATTGTCTTCGAGCCATTCGAGCCTCTTTGCTGCTCCATAAGCTGCGGCGCTTCTGCCTCTTCGTCCGCTTGGCATTGTAAGTGTCGGCGTACAACTTACACGGAGGTCCGATTGTTATTTCTAATGTTTCCATTATATGTAAAATGGCAGCATACCCTTCATTAAATATGCCAGCGGCTATATAGCTGGCGATTTCGATTATTTTTCGCCCCGAATGCAAATGCTTTGGCGTTAGTCGCCAAACTGTAGCATTAAAGTTTCCATTTGCATTTTGTGTATGCCCGCCTAAGCATCTTTCTAATAGGTCGTGATTAGAAAGGCTTTGATAAATGGGCAAAATATTTTTCTCGACATCTGAATGAAACGGAGGCGGGTGCTTGTGAAATTTTGACCTGAGGCCTGAGCGGCATGATACCCGCACCAGCTGTCTGCACCTACCGGGCAATTATCGTGCCTTGGATTTTCATCCGTCGAACATAGATGAAAATAAGTTGCCATTATGGCTTTCTCCATTTCATCAGCGGATTCAATATTCCTCCTGATTGCTAGTCCGTAGTATTTTGTTAACTTTTTTATGAGGGTGTCAGTTAGCTTCCCTCTTCCGCCAAGTTTCTTTTCTTTTTTTATATTTCGTAGCCGACTGCCCATTCGTTTTTCAACGTGGGAAACGCATTCACTTTTTGTTACTTGGAAATCGTCTCCATATGGTTTTAAATCTAAAACAGCTTTAAATGTTTTAGAGTCACCGTCGCCGATGTAGTTTCCGTATTTTACTCCATATTTTTCTTCGGATGTAGAAAACATTTCTGTGATGGAGTCAACCTCCATTTTTCCCGCCGAACCTTCATGGTTTGATGAGCACTCTTCTTTATGATCTTCATACCATTCGGCATACTCCTCTGTGGCTTCTTTTTGTCGCCAAATCGTGCATGCTTGACAGTAGCTGCTTTTGACAACGAGATCTACCACTTTGCCGCTATAGTAGCCAATTAGTGTTGTTACACCAAACAACGAAGTGAAGCCGCGTTTTTTCCACGACCCATCGCCGGAAACTTTTAAATTTGTTGGTGATCTTCCTTTTTTCTCGGTTTCTTCTTTTTCCTCGTGTATTGCTTTTTGGCATAAACTGTCGAATACTGTTTTCGTGGCAGTATGAATATGCCCCACCACAAGGTCGTACATGGATTTACTTAGCCCTTGCCCGATGTCCATAATGCCGCAGAATAAATTTATGCCGTCTCTACCGACGCCTAGAAGTCGCATAGCGAAAACTATTCGTCGATTGATTTCATATCCGTTATTTATGAAAGGCCCCGATGAAATTAGGCGACGGCTGCAGTGGCACAAAACAACAACTTTAAATCCGATGCCCCGAATTTTTTCTTCTTCAAATTTTATATTTTTTTTACAGTCTTTGCAAATAATTATATCTGATAGCGCACCAAAAAAACTTACGAATTCTATTATTCGATACGAAAACTTAGAAACATGGGTAATGTCGGAAGTACTCGAGGTCGATAATTTTCGAGCGGATGCACTTTCTCCCATGGGTTCATCTTCTTTTTGAAGATACTGATTCCCGTGAAACTTTCGCTTTGGAGGCTTCGATGCACGAGTATTGACGTCCCTGTTTCTTCTTGGATAGGACATTTTGATGTACAAGTCTGTACCGTCCTACCAATCGCAATTTTATCAAAGTGACTTGTAAGATCACTTCCGCGAATTACACCTTATCAAACACAATCTAATTATTTATTAAACAACAACGAGTAAAACTTAACACTATATACAAAAATACGTTGAAGATAATGTTCCGTTATGAGAATGATGTTACTTGTCAGTCGGTTTTTTGAAGATGATTGTTCTGCGGAGTCTGTCTGTCATATTTAAGGATGGAATTTCCGTTGGAAGGGGAATCAAAATTTGGGGGTGTCGTCTACCGGAGGATCCGCCTCCGTACTTGGAGGCACTTATTTTTAAATTTTTGCTAAGGGTTAACCCTAGGCTGGCCTCGGTACGGTCGGAAAATGACGGTCGAGCCCAGGTGGTGACCACCGGTGGAGGCGTAGGCAATAAAGTCGTAGGTTCGCTAGATTTGTAAATCATACTTGCAAGACCGTAAGAATCGTAAAAGAGAAAGTTTCTGTGACTTCCAAAATATAATCTTAAAACGGGATTGATGCGACATCGACTGACGTACGAGTTTATTGCTGGTACGTGCCTTTAAGGATTTCAGAAATTTCACGGAACAATGGGAACTTTCCGAAGCTGTGAAGGTTCGGAACTGGACAAAGTCTGTTGTTATGAGTCAAGTGAAGAGGAATATATACACTTTAAAATAATAAAATACACTTAATTAATCAGGAAACGACAAGAGTATCCTCGAATACTCTGCTGCGCGTAAATAGCTTCGTTATAATGACTACTCGTGTAATATCACGGTTTGGAAATGACCGGTCATGTTTTTTTGGGGTCTTATTATATGTACCATTTTTTCGTGGTGGGGTACAGGGTGATGCATCCATGGTGGCGCATCCACGGTGACGTGACTGTTATGATTCAAACCTAGTACCCTTTTGATAACGCGTCGGAGTCATGAACGAACCCCAGTAATTTGTAACCGTACAACTAATAGTAAATACATTTGTGTTACCTAAACTTCAAAAATATCTTTTAGCAGGTATACAATGACTCACATAATAGTTCAAGAGTAGATCTGCTTAGCTATTGTTACAGCGCAGGAAGAGCGAAGGGTCCCGACAAAAAAGCCGCCAAGCGCGTGGCGCTCCGCTCCGCGATCGTATACCTGCGCGTAAGAAATGGGCTGTGGGGCCCTTAATATTTCGAATTTCCAATTGTAACTTTGGGAATATATTCTATGGAAGTTGTACAATAGATTAAAGCAAAAAAAAAAAAATCGATTTTTACACCAGGATCCCCCCTTAAATTTCCTACTGCATTTCATTATGCGTTAAACTTTCGTAGAGTAAACAGTTGATTTTCACGTGCTTAAAGAATTTTGCAAAAATTTCAAATAATGTCGGGGAGAAAAGAATTATCGATTGAAACACGCGCTCTAATAGTGTCCCATCATAGTATCGGAAGAAATAATAGAGAAATAGCAAAGCTATTGAAGTTAAACCGTAAAACCGTGGACTATAATGTTAAAAAATATAAAGATACTGGTAGTTTATCCAACAAAAAGCGATCAGGACGGTCAAAAATAACCACACCAGCAGAAGATCGGGTAATTACAATAATAAGCAAACGTAATAGAAGAAAAACGGCACCGGAAATTACAGCTGAAATAAATGCATCTCGCCCTGAACCAGTAAGTTTGACAACAGTTAAAAGGTGCTTACGGAAAGCAGGTTTGCATGGACGAATTGCTATGCGAAATCCCCTTCTACGCAAACAAAATAAAGCAAAACGGTTAGCCTGGGCAAGATCGCATAAAGATTGGACATTGGAAGACTGGAAAAAAGTGCTCTGGACCGACGAGTCTAAGTTTGAGGTATTCGGCTCCAAAACGAAGATTTTACCTACGGTAAAACACGGAGGAGGATCGATTATGGTTTGGAGTTGTTTCGGAAGCACATCAGTGGGCGACTTAGTCAAAATAGATGGCATATTGAATAAAGAAATTTACAGAGGAATTTTGGAGACGAATGCCCTTCCATCTGGAACGCGACTAATCGGTGAAAACTTCGTGTTTCAACAAGACAATGACCCTAAACACACTTCCAAATTATGTCGCGAGTATTTACAACAATTGGAACGAGAAAAAAGAATTGTACATATGATCTGGCCTCCTCAAAGCCCCGACCTGAATCCCATTGAGCTTTTATGGGAAAAACTAGACCGACAGGTACGAAAAGCAGCCCCAACATCTACACAAACCCTCTGGCAACAACTACAAGATGCATGGTCCAGAATAGAACCACTCACACTTACAAAATTATTGAACAGGATGCCGAAATTATGCAAAGCAATAATAAAAGCTCACGGTGGAAATATCGACGAAAGTAAAATATAGATATAATTGTGATAATTTTTTTAACAAAATTGGAAAAAAACTGTTTTTAGAGATCTAAGTTGTACTACTAAAAAATAAATTAAAAGAAATTGATTTTTGATTAATATTTCCTTTGTTTTTGTGTTATTTTGAGGGTGGGCAAACACTTATGGCCGGTAGTGTACATACCGTTAGAAGGAATCCGAATATCGTTTTGAAATTTTCAGGGTATATTCTTAAGATATTTTGCTAACGATTTATGAAATAAAAAAAAATTGATTTTTTGAAGCATCTAAAGTGGTTGCCCCCCTTAAGAAAATTGCCACAAATCCACTTGCAAATAAAACAAAACTATTAAAAAGTATCATCTGAACTTGATGACACATCAGTGTCATCATCGGTACTTTCTTCGGAGGTAATTGGTAGAAGTAATAGTTGTAGAGCGTACGGCGTGAATTTCTTGCATTTTTTTTTTTATTCTTTTTTTAAATTTGATATATATGGATCTGATGATACTAAGAGCCGCAAGAATACATCTTCTATTGTTTTTGTACGAGAACATTTTCGTGAAAAATCTCTCCGAAAGCTTTTAATATATTTGTGGCTGTGTTCTTGTGCTTCTTCAGACATTTGTCCAATCGGTAACAATGCGTAACTTATTATTTCTGGGCTGTGTATTAAAATTTTGTGCACCGAAGTTGGCATGTAGTACCACGGATATAGTTCTACGAATCTTGTTGCCACTTCAACAGCGTACTTTTTAAATTCGACCAAATTTACATCGTGGCCACTTGAAATTGTTTGCAGTATTGCGAAAAAACTTTTAATTAAATCTTCATCAACTCCAGTTATTGATGCAGATATTTGGTAGTTTTCAAAGAAACGGCGAGCCGTATTACCATCATTGGTGCTACCAAATCCAGGTTTCGGACGGTCTACTAATAGCCCCAGTTGTAGTTGAAAACCTCGTTGAATAATTTCTTTACGGTCTTTCACTATCTGTTTTTCTTCGGTGCTGCGAGCTTGCCACTTCTTTGTTGGTAGCTTGTATGATAAGTGCAGACAACACTCAAAAAAGCGTATCCATGCATGTAGCGTTGACAATCCAAAGCGAAGATGACATTCATTAATTTCTTGTTGCAGCATTTTATTAACATCATTGAATTGTTTTGCTGTTGCTCCGCACAAATAGCAGTGTTGAGTGGACAAGGTGGATGAGATCGCGTTGCATACCTTACCATCAATCATGGTTAACGTAAGTTTATACGAAATTGAAATTTCTTTCCCATCTATTATCGTATCGAAGGGAACAAGTTTTTTGATTTGTTCTTCAATATATTTTGTTTCGTTTATATTTACTTCCGTGCTTTCTTGAGTAAACTGAATCTTCATGGGCCTACAAAATCGAGGGGATGATGGCTTTGCATTCTTCCATACAATGGTTTTATCTCCAGATGTAAGTTGTAGTGGCACAAGTGATGTCAGAAAAATATCTGAATCGGATTTTCCATCAACAGTAAATATTTGTTTGTACATACTTTGACTGGAACTTCCATCACATCCCCACTTGCAAATCAAAGTCATTTGTCGTACCTTTGATGGGGTCAAAGTTTTAATAATGTCATTCTGAATTAACAAAATCCGGTGAATTGAATGATCCAATAAAGCTTGCAGTTTTACCTCTGCACTATATTCTGTAATTGTAATATCCACTGCGGACGGATAACATTTTCTTTTGGCTTCTAATACCATGTTGTATGGCGGATATAAATTGCAATTATTTTCCTTACTTGTAGTCCGCAATCCTAGATATTGCCTCTTGGATAATTTATTTTCAATTATCAGTGACAGAGCAGCATCACCGGACAGTGTTGTTTCAACAACTTTCTCCACAGATCTTCTGTAAACTGCAGCTCTTGATATATTAGGTGAAGTTATATCTTTTATAACTTTCGAAGCGTCTACTTCTCCTGCACTTCGAAGCCTCATCTGTGTAGCGTAAGACAATTGTTCGGGAGAAAAGGTTCTTCGAATTTCCTCGGTTTTTCTTCGTTTCAACCTTTCGCTTAAGCCGTCGAATTGTAAAAAAGGTCGACCAGCTCTATTTTCAGACGACTCTGCAATTGCGGCTGGTATGCGGATCGCTAGTGAGACACTGAGCCATTCTGTGTACTTCTCAAAAAAAAATTTCTCACATCTACTTGATTTCACCCATTTCTTCTTCATGACAGAAAATAATTTCGAAAAGAACGATATTCTATCCTTTTTTATTATTTTTATCATGTGTAAAGTTTTCTGGGTTAGCTGCTCCTCTAAATGCTGAAGAATAGCCCTCGATGAGTGATTTAAATGGCCTTTTACCATGAAATAAATTTCTTTTCTGGTAAAATATATTTCACTATCGGAAGATGCTGTAAATAAATAAAATTTCAATATATTATACATAATTATACATAAATTACAATATATTTAAAACACACTGTTCAAGAATTAAAGCAAAAGCTTTAAGATTATTCATCGTAGGCTATTTTTTGCTTGCTCTCTATTGGTTTGCTATATAAGGTGTTCGGCCATCCCTGGTCAAAAATGTTAATGGGAGATTCTAGAGGCCAAAATAAGACGAAAATCAAGAATA